TTCAATGAAAATGAGAAATGATGCCGTGTCCAAGTACTAAGATTACTAAAACTAAACACACAACTGAAATAAAAATAAAGCTATACAGAAATATAAAAACTAAACTAATGATAAAAAAGCACATAACAAAATAATTTAAATCAAAATGAAAAATGAAAATATAAAATGAATGGCTTATTCAAAATATTACCAAATAATATAATAGTATATAAAGAATACCAAAATAACACTAATAAAATACTAATATTTTCTTTTCATGATTTTGTAAAACTTTAAAAGTTCAGAAAAAGTAAAAACAAACGAACAAAATCATAGCATATATGGACTATTTTTGCATGACTTATGTTTTTCACAGTCTTCTGTTGTTAGAAAGCATGAGGGTGAGTAAATTATGACAAAATTTAAATTTTTGGGTTAACTATTGCTTAAAAACAAAGTGAACTGCATTAAATATCTAAGGAATTCGTTATCAAAACTGAGGAAATGACTCCCAAGTTCCTAACAGACCAAATTGCTCTCTCTCTCAATTTTCACATGTCTAAACAGACGTGACTGTTGTAATGCTCTAGAGACAGTCGCGAGATAGGGGTTATGAAAGCATGAGTGTGCATGTGTGTTTCCTTGCTGTCCCAGCCAGCATCAGCCTGTGATGTCACGGGACAGGGGATGAGCGCAGGACCAGGGTGTCACTGTCACGTCTCACACACACTGTCCTGCTCTCTGTCCTTCCTCTCCCCTTGTCCAGTGCAGTACAGTATCTCTCACTCTTCTCATTTATCCCTCGTCTGTTTTCTTTGTACGTGGAAAGCTAACCACATATAAGGGGGGGTCTAAATTTTAAATAAATCTGTCCGCCGTTCCCCTTTATAAAAATAACCCCAACAGTTTTTTTTTTTTTTTTTACTCTGACTCTGTGAAAGAAAGAAGCATACTGAGAATATGTTTGTATATGTATGTTACAACATGAGGTTAATGCATAATGCATTCATTCTCACATGAACAAGCTTCTTCAGTCGCTACAAAAGCAGATGAAAGGACACTCTTGATTTTATGCGTTATGGAAAATCAGTTTGATTCATCTACAGTCAGCAGAGTCAAAGCGTATCTGGGGATTTTAGACATGGTCTTGGCTGAATTCTTTTAAGTTGAACATTTTAATTAGTCCAGAAAGTTCTGACTTGAATATCCAAGGATTTCAATATACTACAGTTCAAAAGGTTTTTGAAGGAAATTAATATTTTGAGTCAGCAAGGATGCATTAAATTCATCAAAAGTGATGGTAAAGACATTTGTATTTCAAAAAAATACTGTTCTTTTGAATAATCTTATTTTGTATCATGGATACAAATATAACATATAAAGCAGCACAACTGTTTTCAACATTTATAATAACAACTGAACATTTACTTTACTGCGTATCTTGCAGTTTTTTTTGTGTGTGTGAGGTGCTGGGACATCGCCTTGCCTAAGGAACATATATCCACCCTTCCCACACATGTTCTGAATTATTCAATCTACACATTTGAATGTTTTGTAGAAACAGTTTGGTAGAGTTTAAACCAGCTTTGCTTCTGGCCCATTATTGTGGGCAGACCTTCTCCAGGTTGTTCAGACTAGTTAAACTGTGCTTGTGAGCCACAATGTTGGATTGAGATCAGAGCTTTGACTGGCATTGCAGGGCTTTCAAGTGTTTAAAGACTTTCTCCCAAGCCTCAGGTTTTTCAGACTTTTGCCGTATTTCCTGCAATGAAAGATTTGCACCACAAACATTGCTATGATTTTTGTCTACAAGGCTATTGGTTGCGTCTTACCACAAAATCTCGTCTCACCCATTACAACTGGGTCACTATTAGGCCTTCTGGCAAACTCCAGACAAGCTTTCCATGGTTCTTGTGGAGTATTTGGTTCTTTCATTCAACCCTCCTGTACAAGCCACTCCAGAGCTCTTGACATGGTTGACTTGTTCTCAGCTGCTGAACTCTACAGCACCTTCAAAGCAAATGTTGGTCTCTTTATAGCTTTTCTCAAAAAACACAGAGAGTTGAGGACAGTCCTAACATCAGACTTCACTATTTCATTTGAAATGCTTTGAGGAACAAATGAGGAGCATCACATCAAACAAGATATGACCGATAAAGAAGTTTTTTTCCTTAATAAAATGTATTTAAATAAAATTTATTTAATTATATATTTAATGAATAATATTCCTTTATGGGGTTTTCATTCAGAAAACGTGACAGCTTTTTAGTATTTTTTTCTTGGTCTTTTTCTCACATGTACTGATAGGCCGAAAAATTCCTCCTCACTGCAGAAACAGACATTTGCATTGGACTAGTTTCCACAACAACACTTTATCTCCTTTAACCCAGTTTTCATAAAATATTAAGGGGAAGTTGATCAAACATTGTGTTGTTTGTGGATGTGGAAAATTACACCCTGTCTATGCCGGACACAAGCAGTGCATCGTGTTGCATCAAAAGCAAATAAAACCCATTATAGTCAAATGACTAATCAACAAATCTAGCATACTGTATGTGAATCTCATGTTATGGCCGCTTTAAATGCAATTCCTCAATTCCTCATTGCTCAGTGGTTGCTTTTCCTAAGCTCAGGAGACATAGATGTGATTCTCATGTAACTCTCATTTTAGTATCAACAGCATTTCAGATGTTTCTCCTAAAATTCCTTAGGAGATATAGAAGTAGACACAAATGAGACATATTTGAGAAAAAAAAGAGTCAAAACTGAGAATGTGGTGGAAGAAACATAGAATATATCTTTATTGTCTTGCTGCAATCTCTATCAAGACTCCATTATAGGAATATTTTATTGCTCAGTGGTGCTCATTCTAACCTCAGGAGACTTAGTTGTGATTCTCATGTATTTCTTTTATATTTTAGTCTCAACAGTGTCTCAGAAGTCTCTCCTAAAAATCCTTAGGAGAAATAAAAGTAGACACAACTGAGATATGAGAAAGTTCTGAAAGAAAGGAATCCAAAATGACAATGGGAGAGAAACATGGGAGAACTCTTTATTGTCTTGCTGTAATCTCTTGCAAGCTTTTACTACTAAGAGGTTGCTGTTTTGATTGTATTGGGGTTTTTCAACTTCAATGGTCAGGACAGTAGGAGTACAGACAGGAAACAATTGGACAGTTGAGAATTGAACAGGAGCAGGAAAGTACCTTTAGCTGGGATTCGAACCCATGCTGTCTGAGGTGCAGTTGTGCTTCAAGTCGATGTGCTGCCTACAAGGCTATGGCTCTGAAAGAGGTTACTTTACACTCAGGATACTAAGGGCTGATTCTCTTATATGTCTCGTTGAGATATCAGCTTTGTCTTAAGATGTCTTCAGTTTTATTTTAGGAGAAACGCTAAACTTTTACTAATATTGTAAATACTAAAACTATCATTTAAATAGCATTAAACATTTCAGAACATCAAGGGTTACTAGTTTAAATGTTTAAATTTATCTTCAATGTCCAGCATTGTATATACACCACATTTTCCAAACACACTAGAAAGGACTTGCAAGTGCAAGATGTTTAGTATAAGAGCAATACCTTTTACCTTTAGCATTAAAATCTTGTCTTGTACAGCCCATTTTTGCATTTATGTAAAGATAGGTTATGGTTTCCCCATAAACCCCGTCTACATAAAACAACTTCAAATATGACAATGCATGTATTGTCTTTGATTGAAATGGTGTGGATAAATGACATGAGGACATGAAAGCTAACCAGAGGGAAGAAAAATAAAATAAAAAAGAGATCTCTTTAACATTTCTAATATTTCTCCTAGATAGAAATGAGGTTACTTTAAGACTGAATGGAGATTTTTGCTTGAGTCTCCTGCTTCTCAAACTTGTCTCTTGAGACAAAAACTCTAACACTCTCACAATGGCCTCCTTTAAAGCTTTAGAAGAGATCTCAACATCACACACGGTGCTCAGACATTTCTCCTAGTCTAAAGACTCTGGTGTTCTCGTATTTGTCTCTTTTAAAGTTTTAGAAGAGATCTCAACAACATCACACACTGTGCTCTGATTTTTCTCCTTAACTAGAGACTATGGATCTCTCACATTTTTCTCCTCTAAAGTTTAGAAGAGATCTCAACAACATCACACACCATGCTCAGATTTTTCTCCTAATCTAAAGACTCCAGTGGTCTCATATTTGTCTCCTCCAATGTTTCAAACAAGATCTCAACAACATCACACATTGTGCTAAGATTTCTACATAATTTCTCTCTCAATATAGCCTTTAACTCTGAATTTATGAACCCCCCCCCTATATTTAGTGCCTTTCAAGTTCTTGACTTGATGCACACGTTGTAAAGTTGTTGAGATCTCGTCTAAAGCATTACAGGAGACAAATATGAGACTCCCAGATTATTTAGTTAAAGAGACAAATCTAAGCACAGTGTGTAATGTTGTTGAGATCTCTAATCTAAACTTTTGAGGAGACAAATGTGAGAGATCCAGAGTCTCTAGCTAAGGAGAAATATCGCAGCACAGTGTGTGATTTTGTTGAGATCTCTTCTAAAACTTTAAAAGAGACAAATACGAGAACACCAGAGTCTTTACACTAGGAGAAATGTCTGAGCACCGTGTGTGATGTTGTTGAGATCTCTTCTAAAGCTTTAAAGGAGACCATTGTGAGAGTGTTAGAGTTTTTGTCTCAGGAGACAAGTTTGAGAAGCAGGAGACTCAAGCAAAAATCTCCATTCGATCTTAAAGTAACGTCATTTCTATCTAGGAGAAATATTTGAGATGTTAAAGAGATCTCACTTTTGATTTTTCTTTCCTATGGGATACACCTCATCTAGAATAAAGACAAATAGCTTGACACACTAAATGTCATACAGTATATCTTGAAGATTAAGCTTGTTTTATTGAACAAATGCATCAATAAAGTCATTCATCATCATCACATGCTGTAGTCACATCATCACAGTCACATGATATTCACTGATATGTTTATTTTTAGATTAGAAGCGTTCTTGTTTTATGGTATAGCCTTTGAAATTAACTTTTCAATTAATAACTTTGTTCAGTTTTAACCTCTAGAATAGGCAGAGCCTTGCTAATCAAAGGACATGTAATTTGCTGCAATTAACTTTGATCTCTGAATTAGGGCCATTATAATTCAAGCACAGAATGTTGTTTTCAGGGCTAAAATAAAATGGTGCTGGTCCCGTTCAGCTGAGAGGTGTGGCCGGTCAGGTGAGGTTGATTACTTTGATGTCTTGGCTATAGGCAGCGGTAGAGGCTCTGGGGTGAGGAAAGGGATGGGTTCACAGAGCACCCATCCAGCCATGGCTGCACACAGAGCTCCTGAATGATTCATGCACGGGAGAAAAATGCAAACGCGCAGATTTAGCGCACATATATTTGTTCTTTTAAAAGATTGATGGCCTTGAGCAGACAAAGAATGGGGTGAATAACTAATGTATGTTTTTGTTTCTTCTGAATGTGCACAGAGGCAGCTGATAATATTGTTTTTGAATGTGCTAGTGAGCATTTAACTGGCTAAGGAGTTGTGTGCCAGTGTGTGTGTTGACCCTTCATGCATAATTGAGTTTTTCAGAGAACAGTTTGTATTTGAGATTATTATATATTCATATATTTTTAGGTTAGAGATGTTTCGTGATTTGTTTCTCTGTGGACAAAAAAGAGGCCTCAGATAAAGCAGAATAATCAGCGTCTCTCTGCCTACAAAGTTTGAAGTTTGAATTTGAAGTTAATAAAGATTACTGAAGTAAATTTGACAAGAAAATGCTATTTCAGTCTTTATACTTCAAATGGCCTATTTACACGTGGCCATCGGTTTTCTTTGACCGGATAGCTATCCGATTGTGAAAAGACCATGTGTTGATGCCCTCTGAAATGCATCTGAGACAAAATTGCAACTACAGCACACCATTACTGGAGGTGGCTTGTGATCCATTGGATGCAATTGGACAATTGTGAATGAAAAGAATATAGGTGTGAGAGCATGTGCAACCAGCTCCCGGTAGCCAGATACCACACTGCTACTGTAATACACATCTCCACAGATATGGCCCGTTGGAGATGAGCACCTCTCTTCAGCAAACGTGCCCCAAACTGATGCAAATGAAACACAGCCTTTAGGCATCAAATCTTCAATCTCCAGCGTCTTTCCATGTTCAACACACAATCATCTTCATTAAAAGTGGTGAATGCTAAATTCTTTCACCAGTGCTGATGACGCTTTCTCAACTGATGTGGTCTTTGAACTTGAAATCAGCTGATGATAAATGTAACTCATCTGTTGATTTTGGTGATGTGAACCTGGTTAAATTTGCATGTAGCGTAGGAACTGAAGATCAGTTTTATTTTCATTTTGCAGAGACACATTTATGTGACCAAGTGTAAACGAAACAGATATTAACAAATCGGATAGCTATCTGATCTGGGAAGATGCATGAAATGACAAGTGTAAATAGGCCCAAAATGTCATGTTTAATTCAATGTGTTGCTTGCCATTTATTTGTAATTATCTGAGAAATGTACTAGCAATTTCCAAGTGAAAATAGTTTCTACGTCTTTTTTTGTGTACATTTATTCCCACGCTGCCATTAAAATCTTCAATGCTCTTAGTCAGCAGATACTAAACTTGTGCTGCCAGTTCCTCTAGTCTGTTCTATCGAAATAAATTGTTTTATATAATTGCCGTGTGTCAGGTTGTTTTAAATTGTTATGTGTTATTTTGTAGTACACCGTCAGCAGTTAAAACATTCTTCAGAATAGATTATTTGTGTTCCATACAGTTAAACAGGTTTGGAATGACATGAGGGTGACTAAATTATGACAGACTTTCCATTTTTGAGTGAATTATCCCTTCAATATGTCAACACAGAATGTCAGACATCTGTAGGTACACTCACCTCTCCAAACCTTTGTACCACGACAGAAGACATCTTTATAATTGCTTGGGAAGGATTCATCGAATACATTTAATTAATCAATTTAATTATGTTCAGGGCTGCAGAGGGACTCTATATCAAGAGTATACAGCCCTGAATATCACAGAGACCCACTTATGCTCATATATAAGCTTCTGGGCGTGAAGGGACTTGGCTGGGAACATTAAGAGACAGAGATGACATGCTAGACCTGTCTGACTGCTGCTACACATTCTCATACCCTTCCACCTTGCATAGAACTCACAAACAACACGCACATGCTACTAGGGATGTGCATTAGTACATATTTTCATCGACTAGCCCATTATGCAAATAGCCATAGGACAGAAAAACTCCAAACTTACTGAGTCAGGCTGTGCAGAGTGTGTGATTCTGGGTTTTTATGCTTGTGTGGAAAGCTGGCGGTTGTCCTGGGTTTATCAGTGCATGCGCCCGGAACGTGTCACCTCACGCTGGGGTCTCCCCGCCTATAAAATATGCATCACATACAGGATAACATGGAAAGAGCGAGGCAGCACACCACACACTCAGACTGGGACAACAATTGGGCTTTGCACCATTGAGCATGAGCCCTTGCAAACACACACACACACACACACACACAAGCACAGCAGTGAGATTATCTAAAGGGTTGGTGAGAAGGTATATTCTCGCTATCTTGATTTGCGGTATCTGTTACATTTTAGTAAACAAATATGGGGGATCATACCGTGGCAGTAACATAAGACACAACAGCACTTTAATTTGGTGATGAATGTGTAATGTGTGTGTGTGTATTTGATATGAAGGATTAAGCAAACCTTTGTTCTCATTGGGTTTCCACAGAGTTCCACAAATATGTGCGTGGCCAAGATTACAATTGCAATAGCAGTAAGGTGTGGTCACATTTATCTTTTTTTCTGTGAATTTTTAGAGGTGAAATCCAGTCATATCAATAGGAATCCATGCGATCTGAAATTTTGTGTAGGGGGCGAAATATTTCATCATAAATCATATATCATTTGAAAGCTTAGAAGCCCAAGATTCATCCTGTGAAAACCATTTTGAAATCGGACATTGCGTTACCATGGAAATGGTACTTTAAAATCTTTTGGCGGGCTCCTCCCCCTTAGTGGGCGGTGTCAAGTGTCATATTACAAAATGCATTACGGTCTTTTAGAATCAAACCTTTTTATAATCTTGACAAAAACATATCATTGGAAAGGTCTGAGTCTCAGGATTCCATATTTGGTAATATTGTAATATTGACAGAGAAATCTAGACATTTGTTACAGAAAAATGCATTAAAAAAATTCAGTGGAGTTTGGATGGCACCCGGTGGCTGTTTGTGGTATGACACCCTAAATAAAATCCCACAGGAACCTCCATTTTTTTCATATCAACTTCAAATTTGGACATAACTTATTTAGACATAAGGCTTTAAGTTTATACCAATTTTAGAGTAAAACCTGTTATGTAAAATATTTATTATATATAAAATAAAATAAAATTAATATAGTGCATTTTCTTTACAGTAAATTTAAACTACCATAACTTTTTTATACTTTAAAAAATTCCACTTTTGCAATAATCTGCTGATTTTCTTCTTTAAAAAGAGACCAACCTTATGTCTGTATTCCAAAGTGTTCATAAATTACAACAATTTACGTTTGGATAGTGCACCTGCATGCCTATTTTAAAAAATGGGGGGTGACAGTTAAGGGGTTTAAAGTCACGATGAAATGAAAGTAGCAACAGATATTTTCTTTCATTTTGTGGTGTACATCTAAGTGTTACAGACTATCAAAAAGCAGAAAAACGTAAAAAAAAAAGAAAAAAAGATTTTAGTATAAATTTTCACTTTAAAGGGAAGCATATTCATAATAAAATATCTCCTATTAAGAACATGCGTGTTTATGACATGCAGAAAGTTCCAACTTTTTCATCATACAGTTCTCGGAAAATAACTGTGTGGCTTTCTAGTTGTGGGAGAGACAAACTATATGAAATATGATGTGCGTTACATAATCCTCTTATTTACTCCTGAGAGTTACATTGTACTGCAGCGCAGGTTACACACGTCATTATGTCATCCTTGCAACACGGTCCAGCCTGAATGACATCAGAACAGCGTTCGAGGCTGACCACACCCCCACAGACACATGACCCTTAACCCAGACGAATCTTGACCACTGCACATCAGGGACAGATGGAATGCAGTCACTCGCTGCCAGAAACTCAATAGTGTGTGTATGTGTGTGTCTGTTGCGTCTTTGTCAGAGAGACGACGCTGGGCTGTGAGGTCACAGCTGTGCTGGTCAACATGCTCCGCCTACAGAAGCTGCCTCAGGTCCCCGTGAAACAAATGGGAAAAATCACATTGTCTCTCACAAATAAACCGAGTCAAACAGACATGTACACACATGCTTACCACAGCACGTAGACTGCGCTGACAAGGCAGCTGAATAATAAAGTTTTCTGACGTTCATCTGCCTTCAGTCCTCTCTTCCGACGTGATTTTAACCCGTCAACACCCTCCTTCAGACCAGAAGGGAGCACGTCATCACAGCATCACAGCACAGCACACGTTCACTAGGCCGCTGCAGTGACGCCCTGTAGACCACAGTCTGGGCAGCTGTCCATCTGACAACAGCAAGTCTCCTTGGCCCGAGAGTTTTCTCGTTGTTATTTTTATTTTTATTTATTAATTTTTTTGGCTTTCGGTCTTTCTCTTGACAGCCATTACAAATGACCGCAGCCTGCATGAAAGCTTCAAATTTACATGTGGTTGGCTCCCATTTTGCCAAAAAAATAAACAAATTTAAATTTAGGAAACACGATTGCTAGCATGCATTTACATTTACATTTACATTTAGTCATTTAGCAGACGCTAACTTGATTCGAGCTGCAACCGGTAGCCAGTGCAAGGAGCATGTATGTGATTCTGTATGCCTGCATATAAATGTGAACCGACTTCAAAACTAAAGTGTGTGATTTGTGCACCACTAGTATCACCAATTGGTCAGGATGCTAAAAGACCAACATCACAACTACAGAGGCACAGTTTTTACACTTCTAGGGGAAATCAACTTAGAAATGCTTAATTAAGATCATCTTTGCATATGTAGCTGGGATAGAATAAATAATTACAAAACGTAATAAAAATACACACTTTTGTCTCTAAATATTTAGGCAGGATAGAAAATTCAGAAATAAAAACTCAGCTACAGAGCCACGGTTTTTACAATTTTGGGGGGAAATCAACCTAAAAAATGCGTAATTGTAGTTATATTTGCATAGCTAGAATAAATAAAATAATACAAAGTAGAAAAATACACAGTTTTGTACCTGCATATTTTGCTAGGATAGAAAAATAATTACAATTATATGCTTTATTTACATAGATTACAGAAAATTTTCATCTGGGATTGAATAAATAAAATAAAAAGTAATTAAAAAACACTTTTTGCCTCCGCATATTTAGCTAGGATAAAAAAAATGTATACTTTATTTGCACAGATTCAAGTGTCTAAAAGCACACATTTGTACTATGTAGAATGCATAAAGTAGGTTTACACATATACAAGACAAATAAAAACACACAGAACCATATAAGCAGACGCTCACACAAGCTTTTTTGTATCCTCAAAACATAGCCGAAAGAAAAGAAAGCCTGAAACGTGATCAAGCATGACTTTTGATTGCAAGAGAAGATTTTTTTTCATACGCTATATTGTTCTGCACACAGGGTCACTGGGCTCCTGTCGTCTGAAGGGCAGAAAACAGTGTTAAGTCTGGTTTAATTCATTTTTCGTCACAAATGAAAGAGTACTACAGTGAACTATGTGAATCTTTGCTGGACAAGAATCCTGATTATGGCACATGGTTCAACAGTGTGAGTGTGTCTTTGTACTGCCGTCTGTTAAATTTACTATCTGTGACGGTCTGCTGTCTGTGACAGTGTGGAGGAGTTTTCTAAGGAAAGGTAAAAGGTGATGCTTGTTGAAAATACAAGTCTCAATTTGCATATGACATCTCAATTTTCATACGTATGCTATTTTATAGTACAATTGAATAGTATGCTCATACTGAAAATTCCAAAAAGGAAGTGCACTTCTAATACCCGGATGATGTACATAATTAACCAAATGGAATGATGGACACTTCATGCACAGCTTTCCTTATGCAGTGAAGGGGAGAGACTATCAGACTCCGATGTCAGATGACAAAATAACCTTTTATTATTCAGACACTAGACGGTAGAGTACATAGTGTATGGTAAAAGTACTGTGACGAGCGTCCCGAAGCTGCATCAGCGTCGCCCTGGAAACGAGCGAGGAGCACCTGGCCGTCCTCATCACAGGCTGATCGGTCACAGCTGCAGCTCATCAGGCAGCGGCCACATAAGCCACGCAAGCCCTGCCATCTGGGAGACTTCTCCATGAGACTGAGCACTAACTCGCCCTCTCATTTCTCCCACAGACAGCAGCGTGTGACCGACCAGCCCCGCAGGAGCACTGCACGGACCCTCTGCACTGGGAAGACGGAAGAGAGCACTCACGGCACCGGAGCACCTACCTGGACCTTTCTCCCTACCACCCACCTCACTAATAAATCCACCCTCTGGGGCATTTATTAAGATTTCCTTGTCGTGTGATTCTTCACCCCGTTACACTGGTGGAGAATGCGAGCATATCAGTGAAGAATCACCGACAAGTGATTTTCTTCACCTCACCTTTCCCTTGTTTTTTTGTCTCCGGGTTCTGTCACAGGCGAGCGCTCCTCCCCCAACATGGACGAAATCCTCCAGCGGCTCACCGAGGTCAGCATCCGCCAGCAGCAGATCGTCGAGCACCTCGCCACCCGTCAAGGGGAGACAGAGCAGGAGCTCGCGGCCCTTCGTACCGCCGCCGCTCAACGCGTTCCGCTGCCGGACCCCCGAGTACAGGCCGCGAAGCTGCTACCCAAGCTGACTCCTCATGATGACGTAGAAGCCTTCTTACAAATGTTCGAAGCGACGGCCACCACGGAAGGATGGCATAGGGACGAACAAGTGGACAAAAAAAAAATACATTGATTTTGGCGAGAAACAGAGATTACATTAGTCTGTAAATGCAAATCATCCTAAAATATCTGTGACCATAAACCAGATGTTGTAATTATCCAGGTTAAAGCTAACTATAAACATGTCAACAGCTTAACTAACTTGTTCAGTAAGATTCTTTTCAAACTGTTGTTCCGCCATGACAGTTGTCGACCTGAAAGAAAGAAATGACAAGAGATCTTTGTCTAGTGCAAACAGTAAAGAAAGGTGCTAGCAACTGCAAGGTCATGGATTCGAGTCCTAGTGAATGCATGAATTAATAAAATGTATACCTTAAATGCAATGCAGTTTGCATCTGGCAAAGCTTAAAATATGAAACACATTTGCACCGTATTATGTCTAGCATTTCAGAATGCAATTAATGAAATTCAACTTAGCTGAATAGATGTTTGTTTTCATATACTTAAGAACATAGTTCTTCAAGAACAAAGACATATACTTATGTCTTTGGCCTTAGATTCAGATATCAAATGGCCCATCGCAAAGTTTATATTTTTGATAGCAGCCTGAGTGTGATTGAAACAGGAAGCACTAGTTCCAATCCACAGCTGTGCTTCCCTGTAGGCACTTACAGCACGTTTAAGTGTGTGAGAGAGGAGACAGAGAAAAAAAGAGGTGAGAAACGGTGATAGTCTTGGAGAATTGTGTGGTTTTGGATATTGCTCTGGTATTGTTCTCATATATAATAGATCAGAATCTGAGATTCTTTGTCTTAACAAATCCTCTCAAATGTACTTTTCATGTTCGGCTGTCTCCTGTAACACGTGACACCTGTAATACAGACATATCCTGTTACATGATACACACAGACGCAAACATACACACTCAAGACATTTAATTGTAGTTTGCAAGCCCTAGTTTTTTAGTATCACAAACAGGCGTTTTACCAGTTTTTATCACCATAGTAACATACACTACATGATTACTCTGCTTAGGGCAAGGTTTGTTCGGGGTTACAGATTTTAATTACTAAAAAAAAATAATTTAATAATAGTTAATTACCATAATTAAAATATATACATTTTTATCTTATATGTTAAATATATGTTATATGTTAAATATATACTGTATATATGTGTGTGTGTGTGTGTGTGTGTGTGTTTATTATAAATCACTTTGTTGTATTCCTCATTTTTAAGTTTCTTTGGATAAAGGCATTTGCAAAATGAACAAATGTAAATGTACTGTATATAACAAATAAACAGTATTTTATAAATATATATCATACACAATAAATAAATACAGTGTTTATACACACACACACATATTATATATATATATATATATATATAATTAAATCATTTAAATTTATAATTTATTTAAGAGTGTGTGAGTTTAACAGTAAGACGAGGATGAGAGTGTGCTTGGTCATTTAAATATAGTGTTTATATACACACACATATAATTTATCATATATAAATATACAATATATAATCTATATATATATTATATTAATTATATATTTATATGTACTTGACTAATCTGCGTAATTGCCAGGTTTTGGCAATTAAAATTTTTAACACTTTACATATATTTTTACATTTTTATGCATTTTTAACTTATAATATAAAATACAATACAGCCATTTAAAAAAAAAATACCTCCAAATTATTGACCTTCAAGCTCAGGTGTTAAAGGTAAAGGAAGGAATAGATACTGAGTGGAAGAATCGACAAAGAATAGGTAATATAACAAACACAGATTAGAGTGTGGTTGTGATAAAAGATGCTCATATTATATCATCCAATCCATATCCATCTTATTCTAAATGTAGGACCGAGCCATTTTTAAAACATTTAATGTGCAAGGCTTCTGGTGTCAGCCGCTTCTAGTTATTTTAACTGTATAAAAACAATCCCTTATGCTGCTTAATATTGCCAACTGGTATTTGTTATATTATTTGAATTTAATCATAAACACACAGGTTTGTAGTGCAAACAGTTCTATTTACTGCACTTTGTTATTCTTCTATAGTTATTATTTATTTCAAAAGTCTCGCACATTCACAGAAAATAGCTCACTTCCACGTAAGCGGGGCTGACACGGGTCATACTCTCCTGCTACCACACATACTCCCCTCCCCTGGCTCAGGTGCTGATGTTCTTGTTGGTTTGCCAAGCATGAGTTTCAGAGTTTGCAAGTGTGCTCAAGTGTTCTCTCCCAGTGTAAAAATACTACCCATATGATGGCAAGCGTGTGGCATGGTGCTGATGACACAAGTAACGCCTCCAAATAGCTCCGCCAAACCTAAAAATATCCTCCCTCTGAATGCAGCCAGCCACAAATACAGAGCAGCACTATCGTTTTACTCACCCTGAAAGAGAGAGAGAGCCTGTCCCTTGCTAACAGTTTCATTATGTGAGGAGTGCGTCACTATGAGGTGGAAAAAGAGGGAAAAAAATAAAGAAAGGAAAGGAAAGAAAGAGTGAGGCCGTAGTTGGCAGGGGAAAACAGTTACCAGAGGGGATTATGGGGTTTGGCAAACAAGAGGCCTGTATGTATGCGT